GCATTTTAAATAAGTTATTTAAATTTTATGCAAAACTTAAAAGACTAATTTAAAGTAAAAAAACAAATTATAGTAATTATTTTATAAAAGTGTGAAAAAGTATTTTTGTATAAGTTTTAGTGACAAATTTTTGCGCTAAAAATTATTATTTTTTTCATAATAATTTTAAAAAATGTGTTTTAGGATGGAAACAAATTTATAATAATGAAATTTTCTTCAACGGATATCGCTTTGTCCAAAAACGTTATCAGACTTTTTATAATAATTAAATTACTATCAAGTTTTCAATTACATCAAAAACTGACCATTAGCAGTTAATTCAATATTTTAAAGTTAATTAATGATTTAAAATCAAATTATTTTAAACAAAAATTACTCTAATACTTTTTCTCTTTCATATTACTTACTATCTTATTGTAATAATATTTATTATTACTGTAATTATCAGTAAGATTTTTAGTAATAGTAATCATATCAGAAAAAAAAGAAAAGATTTAAGCAAAAAACGCTAAATTTGTATAGTTAAGCAAAAGTTTCTAAAAAAGTATTTTTGCTAACAGTACTGATTGATCGATTCATTACTTAATATGTCTAGAAATTTGAATTTAAAAACTAAATAACTTAGTACTGATTACTGTGATCAAACAATTTTGCTATGATTTTACATTTTCTTATTTAGCTTTTTATATCGAACAATAATAATAATAACAGGTTAAAGTCATTCAATTCCAAATATTAAGTTTATTACAGTGTAATCAATACGAACTAAGTTCTATTATTAAAATAATTGAATGATTTAAAAATTATTCAAAATACTCATAAGATTTTTTCAGTTTATAATTCAAAATATAGATTTTAGTAAAAAATATTGAATATTTTTCAAAATTTGAATATATTTATTTTGTACAAAAAATGATAATTGTTCCTTATTATTTTTTATTTGCCATATTTTTTAACAGAATAAATAAAAGCTAAAAGTTCTTAAGGAAAGCGCCGTAAGAACTATTTTTATGACTAGCAATAATTTAATACTTAAAAACATTGAACACATTACGGTAAAAAGATAAAAAATAATACAGATAAAAATAAAGCACAAATAATATTTATTTATAGTTTATAAGAGCTCTGATAAAATTGAGATATTTAAGAAGAAATTTAATTTGAATGTAAATTTAAATTTGAATCGAAATTTTTAATATTAATTAATAATAATTGCATGTGTATATATACATTAATTTCAATTTCCAGTTTGTTTATTCACAAATTGATTAAGTTTTAAAGATTTTACTTCTAATTTTTTAATTATAATTTAGTGAGAAATTAAAATCACAATTATTTAAACTTCAAGATTTTTGTTCTTATCAAACTCCTTCACAAAATTAGTTAATATTTAACTCTTACTTAACTAAAAGTTTTTTACATAATTGGTTATGAGTAAATATTAAAAGTAAACAAAATGTATACTAGTTTTTAATTTATGAATTCTTCAGTTATTTAAGTGTTATATATAGTAATTTAATTTTAGTTTATTCTTATTTTTAGTTCTTTATTAATTGAATTGTGCATATTTAAAATTATAAAAGCAAAAAATCTTATCAAATAAACATACCTTTACAATTTTTTTTGGTGTAATTGAAAATATGCAAATTTTCCGATGAAGTAGTTGATGGAGTAGCTGATGATGAGTTGTGATCTAGCGTAAAAATCGAATCTAAAAAATATTTAGTTCATTTCAAACATATCAAATTTGCAGTTTACATTACTGCATACAAATTATTTATAATTAAAAATGTTCTTACAACCATAAATAAAAATTTGGACACAAGTTAAAACTAAATAACGTCAAGTTACTACGTTCAGTTTACGTTTGTTATTAAACGAAAATGACGTAATTACCAAGTGAATGGTTGCCAATACAGTAGCTGCCAGAAGCAGTTTCATGCGTTGTGATGCCATTGTTAGTGATCACAAAAATATTCCTACGTCCGTCAATATTTTCTTGTTTATCAGTTTTATCAGTGATAGATTTATTTGATCCAAGTGAATTTTTCGTTAGCATTTGTTTGAAGAAGCTGCATGGTTTTTTTAGTACAAAAGCGAAAGAAAAAGGTGAGGAACGATTGTTGCGTGGCGCATTCATCGCTTATGAATTCTTAAATATTCAGTGCTAAAATTTCACTTTCAGTAAGAATTTCTTCATTTTTATAATTATTGACATGAAGTAAACAAGCGTCAAGTCTCGAAAAAACAGCGTGCAAAGTAAAGAAGCGTAAAATGCATGAAACAAAGAGGTATAGAAAACGTTTACATGCATAATCACAAGCCTTGTTTCCATCTATTATTATACTTAATTTCACGTGACTAATTTTGCGTGAACAGCGAAAAGCTGATTTTTCATAATCAATAATCAGTGCTAATACTTTTTTTT